CGAACAGAATCACAGAGTGTCGGGGGCTTACCACTAACCTGGTCTTTGTAAGCCCCCCAGGTTTAAACTACCTAGCCTAGCCGGATTTGATTTACTGTTTCATAGCTATGGTCAGTAATCCTCTATGCCGTAATTAATACATTCATATAACGGTACGCACAAGGTTGTTTTATTATGTTTTTATTATTCTTACGCCTTTTCTTAATTGCAAATTGCCTTTTGCTAATTCTTCTTTTATACCACTCTCGATTTCTTTGTTATATGTCGATCTAGAAGAAAAAGTCGGCGTAAATTTACTCATTTTTTCCGTTTTCTTGTGCACATTTTGCTGTTTGTCTCTGATGCGACTTCAAACCCTAAAACCTCGCAATACCACCATTCCCCTTTTTATACGATCCCGGGATTTGAGGAAGCTTAGACGGCATATATGACCCACCGTTGTCAGGCAAGTATTTCCAGGTCCTAAATCAAACCGTAATTCTTAAACCTAACTCTAACGTCAACCCTAACCAATATTTCCGTGGATTTTATTGCAAAGGCTAATAATGGTGGCTCCAGTGTCCTGTCCGAGGCCTCATACGTAGTCCCTACCGTTTTTGTGGGTATGAAGGAATTTGTGTCAGTTGCTTCGGGATTCTCTATTGGCAAACTTAAAATTTAAAATCCAGAAGATTTTTCCCTTCCCCGTGCGCCTTATTGAACTGGGGATATTTATAATTACATATCGCTCCGTATACTGATCCAAGTCCTCGCATTCCAAATGTCAAGGATTCCTTTTAAGAAGCACCGTACTTTACTAAACATTATTAACTATTAACTTTATTGTAGTAAGCCTGTTTTTTTCTGTACGTATGCATCATGTGCCACCACATGGCATGCCCCACAGCGAATTCTTTAGCGTCCGTTGGGTATGTTTACTTTTATTAGTTTTAATTTAGTTTTTAGTTTAGTTGGCTTGGTTTAGCTTAGGTTAGTTTGTTTGGTTTTAGTTTAGTTTAGTCTACTTTGATTTATTATTTGGTTCTAGGTTAGTTCAGTTTTAGTGGTATTTACGTTAGCCTTAGCTTTATTAGTAGCTTGCACTCACTTTTCGGCGGATCGTACTACACTCTCTATCCAAATATATTAGAAGCTATTGTGAATTTTAAAAAAGTGGAGGAAAGCCTAACTTTTGTGGTTTTACTTTAATCTCGAAATTTTGGTATAGAGTCGATCTAAATTGTGTCTAGTCCGCAGGTAATATTTGTGCCGTTCTTGTTTCCTATTGACTTTCCTTTTCCACTTTCATTATCGCGCGCTTTTTTGTTGCCAAACAGTAGGTTATTTAAATAATTATTCTTCTTAATCTCTACTTGTATACGCTCTACGTTTTAAATTATTTTTCTTTCTATGATATGCTCCACCCATATAACCCCTATTGCCGCCCTTCCAGTATTAAACAGACGTGAGTTTTTTTGTTACTGTGGTGTCTCTCATAAGGAATCCTTACCTTCCATTTAAATAGCCTACTCAGGGATCCCCAAAACTGAGGACCCCCAGCGCTCCTCTCGTGCTGCCTTCAGCGGAAGCACGGGTGACCTGAAGGTCGAGGTGGACACAGGCCTCCACCCGGAACCGCCCTCCTCATCCTCTCCCCTTCTCGGTGATTTGAGCCTCGATGAGTCGCCCGAGGAGGTTGACCACGGCTCATCCCACGAGAAGCCGCCCTACTCCTACGCCCAACTCATTATTCAGGCCATTGCCTCAGCACCGCACCGTCGTCTTGCTCTCTCGGACATCTACGCCTACATATACTGCAACTTCCCCTACTATAAGCCTAACCAGAAAGGTTGGCAGGTTAGTCCTTCATTTCTTGGCTGTTGCGGGGAGAATCTGTTGAATGCTTTACTCTCTGGGATTTGGGCCATGTATATACCACCATGTTAAACACCACCTAAGCAAGACGAATGGACCAATGAGAGCAGAACCTGACGGACCTATCAGAAGTGAGTAAGAAAAGGCTTATACAAACCATGTATTTCCCATTTTCCCTATCTACGATGATGTGCTCAAGAACGAGTGTGAAGCGTTAGACGATGAATATACCATCCTCCCCAGAGATCGCTTTACGTTCTTCTACATATATATACAGGGTGTCCCAAAAAAATTTATGCACATTTTATATAATTGTAAACTTTGTGTATATGATAAATTATTTCAAAAATGAAAAAAATACATATTTACAAGTATCATTATATTGTTTCTTCACTGCATTTTGACTATTGCAACAGTGGCTGAATTGAGAGAAGCCTTTGAACATGAACGCACCTCAGTACCAAGGGAATTGTTCCATGGTGTGTGCGATTGCATTGCTTCGCGTTGTCAGCAGTGTCATAATTAAAATGGACGTCCGTTTGAGTACATTCAGTGATAAAGCAATGAAATGGTACTTGTTAATATGTTTACCTTTTTGAAATTATAAAATTATAATTAACACCAATTGTACGATTATGTAAAACGTGTATACATTTTTGGGACACACTCTATATATATCGCGTTCATCGTCTCCCAAAGAAGAGGAAGGGGAAGATGGGGCGGGATCGTAGACCAAATTATATTTGGACTGACGTTTCAAAAGCACACTCGCTTCCACCATCAGAGTACCGTACTTGCTCTTCCGTGGGGCTTGAGTGAAATCGCCTTGCTGCCAATCTCGTGTTGTATCTGTGCTCCCTGCATGTGCGTTCGCCTGTCTGGTGGCCGCCGGTTAGCTCCGAAGTTTTTGTTACCCCCAGTGCCAACAGTCCACAAGCCAGGAGCGCCCCTACGCCCCATCGTCTCATTACGTGGCACCCCAACCTTTGGGCTGTCAAACTGGTTATATCAGTGACTTTCCTTCCCCACCAAGGATTCGCCGTGGACAGTGAAATCGGTTGAAGAGTTCCTGACACGCATTCAGTAGCGCGCCGGTCATGTGACTTCCGATCGCCGCCAACTTCTTCCTCCGTGGGTGTCGGCTGCCGGCCCGGTGTAGCTTATTTCGCCTCGTTCTGAGTGGCTGAGCCTGGTACGGAGTTCTTGGTAGACTGGATTTAAATCGGTGATTCGGTTTAGTGTGCCCGTCGTGGACCAACTTTCCAGCACTAGTCTGGCTATTTTCTCACCGGCCCTGCCGAGCACCCTCGGCTTCTCAAAGTCTAAGGTTCAGCTGTTGCACGTGACCACGTTGTCTTTGCGATTGATTGCAAGTTGATGTTCGTGCAATCCTTTGCCCAGGAGTCCTTGACACACATTCAGTGTGTTGACGTAGAGACAGACGAGGTGATGGTGTCATTCGATGTGATCTAGTTATTCACCTCAATCCCAACCGCCCTGGCCATCCTACTGGAAAAATCCTGATACATATGCCGGATTTTGTCCACTTTGCTACTAGAGCGGTGGCCACCAGGCAGGCGAACGCACGTGCAGAGAGCACAGATACAACACGAGATTGGCGGTAAGGTGATTTCGCTCAAGCCCCACGGAAGAGTAAGCACGGTACTCTGATGATGGAAGCGAGTGTGCTTTTGAAACGTCAGTCCAAATATAATTTGGTCCACGAACCCACCCCCTCTTCCCCTTCCTCTTCTTTGGGAGACGATGAACGCGATGACATATCTGGACCCCGAATCTTTAGGCATATCAAGATATATATATATATATATATAGCAGAGAGGGATGACAGCGTTTTGGGGTAGCTTGATGCGGAACTGTTTTGGGCTTATCTGCCTTCATTCAGCTACGCATAATCCTGAACACCAGCTGGGTCGGACAAAACAAACATACGCACTTACAGGTGGCGCAGAGGTTCCGCCACAGGGGTCTTCCGGATGGGTCATAAGCACTTCATCGAACCGCAATTCATCAATGCCTCGTCACCTGCCATTAACTGTCACTGCAGAGCGGGTTTATATTCAGTCAGGCATGTGCGAACACCGATCTAATTGCCATCTAATTGGCTTCCCGAAGTGAACAAATCTCGTGTGGGTGGCCAGAGATCCCGAACAGGCGACCACCTGCCAGTCCGGATGCCGGCCAAATCTGTATGGATTCAATTATTTTCTCCTACGTTATTCACGTTATGCAACGAGAGGAAGCAACTGATGAGCACTCTCAAAATAGTGGATCCAATTGGTGTTGCTGTTTACGCAATCTTCAAAAAAAGAAACCCAACGAATTTTCCAAGAAACTCCCTGTTACGCAAAAGCAGCTCACATTGCATCCACCAAAGCCTTACAATAGTAATGGCACAGTGGTTCTCAAAAAGAAGATATACTACGGTTTCTGAAGTAATATTAGGTTGTTTAGAAATACCAGCTTCTTTGGAAAAGCGGAAAATTCCGAAGAAGTGGAAATCAGACTTAAGTTTTAAATTTAGAGGAAGTTTTTTCATGCAAAAAGCGAGTGAATAAAGCAGCAGCAGTAGTAAAATTTCGTTGGAAAATAATCGTTTTGTAAAATTTTCGGATACACATATGCTTCCATATTACGCGCAATATAACGTATGCCAGTTGCCTAACAGCCCAAAATTCGAGTATATATTCCAACATGGTCTCAGCCGAATTATTATTTGTTTCTTCCATTCCTAAATTGTTGGAATTACACTGGACGAAGGCGACCAGATTTTCGCTTGAGTGCGCCGATTAGAAGGTCACATGAGTAAGACATTTCGTGAGCTCATGTACGGACATGCCGGTCCGTGAATAATAAATGTAAATGGAATTGTCAGATGCCGTCGTAAAAGTACCATTTTTTGCACACTAAGAGAAATTGCTTTCCGTCACATTTCCTTATAATTATTTCAGGATTTCGATTACGACGAGGTTTAGATCGTTCTTGAAAAGTTGGTTAACACTTTATGATTTTCAGTGGTTTCAGTCAGTAGTTGCAGTCCCTAAATAAGGATTAGGTTTTACTTGCTTATCAAAAGCTTCAAAATAAGATATTTCTTAAATGCATTACCTTAATTATGAGTTTTTAAAATTTCTTTCTTAGGCAGCTATCTCTTTGGACTATGGTTTTAGAAGCACCCAAGTACGTCAGCTAATTTCCGAGAACAATGGACGTCCACAACAAAAGTCGCGTCTAAGATTAAAAAAAAAACTTTCTATAAAAATTTACCTTTTGAAAGAGTGCTTTGATCAGATATGTCGGCGTCGAATATCTGTGTACTTTACCATTTTGAAGATTAAGTCAAGAGCAAAATGGTCAATTGTTACAAATTTATTGACTTCCCTAAAAATAGGGATACATCTTTTGTTGAAAATGATATAACTCACTTTTCTATGTATACGGGAGTGGATTTCAGTATATATTTTTTACTTTTAGGCTCCGCTCTAAGATAACAGAAGCAGAGCTGAGTGGTAGAATATAAATGAGGATTTTGACAAAACTAATAAGCTTCTTCCCTTTCCGTTTCAAGTCTTTCTATTCATTGATTCTGCTTTGTAGATAGAAAATATTTGCAAATCGTAAGCCCACACTGTAAAAGAGAAAACAGAGGACATTTCGTGACATTCCATATATGCTTGTATACGGCTATTCTTTACGACGTAGTAAGACAACTTATGCTCCCATAAGTTTACTACTTACCGCCATGACACAAGACGTAGCAGATTTGCAAAAGTGAAGGATAAGGTAGTTTAATTAGTGCACCTTATATCTCCCTAGTCCCAGCACTTTTTCCTACGGAAGCAGTGGTTATAGGGGGGTTGGGTGGGGAAATACCATAAGGCAGTGAAGAAAATTTGTAAAAGAATGTGGTAAACGGACTCGGCTCTTCTCTTTCCGATAATACTGCGTTATCTTAAACTTGGACTTACCTCAATTTCATGAACGCAAAACAAAACCTTCTATCCTGTGAACACATATAATTAAAAGAGTTTCTGGTCTTTATTAATTGTCTTTTATAGTGCAACGCACACAAAGATAATTTTTTTCCTCAGCATTTAGTAGCATGGGAAATTCCTTGAATATCAAAAAACGTTGGATTTTGGCCAATTCCGCCCCCATTTAACCCCCAGTATATTGATCTGACCCGAACGCTTTTATTGTAAACCGCATCATTCTGTCTCTCAAGTCTACTCAATAAACAAAATAAACAACCCCAAATGCGTGTGTGTTTAATCCCCTTTGTCAAATTTTGATCTTTACATTTCATCCGGTACTGTACTGTACACCAGTTTCAGCCCTATACCGTCTGCTTATATAGAACTCGATCAGACATAATCTCTCGCTCAATCGCTACTTCATCCGCGTTCCACGCTCGCAAGAGGAGCCCGGAAAAGGGGCCTTCTGGCGCCTGGATCCAGAATCCGAGGCTCGTCTGACGGTGCAGGCCTTTCGGAAGCGGCGTC